AGGACGAAATGCGAATTCTGGATTCCACTACTAGTCATCATTCATTTTTGATTTGCTCTTTTATTATTTTCAATTTTAATAAACAAATGGTTAACATTCATTCATCTTATGTCAACTATTCATAACAAAAAGTTACGTATACATATATTCTATTATTTTTCATACGATTCAAATCTTATTGTCTCATAATACTGATAAAAGTCAATTTCTAAACATGATTAGATAAGAATTTAGTGTAGACTTAATTCGATTATTAAACATCATATATTCTTTGATCATTTTAGTTTTGATTATTACCCTGAGGAAGTTCAGACAATTCAACTGGATAATAAGCATTAATCGAATTTTTTTAAGCAAAGATGGATAGTGGCTGGCAAATGAATCCAGGACGTGCTTCTCACCCTGTTTTGGGACTCGTCATCTGAATGTACATGCATCTCAGAGTTAATGTTGACTCCGAGACTCGAACACAGTACCGCTCGCTTCAAACACTACCGAGTTATCCAACTGGCTATTGAATCCTGATTGTCAATTGCTTGTGCAATGAGGTGAAGTTTAAATTTACTTGGTATTGTTTACTTGAATGTTTCCATTGTTGTTTGGGACTGCAATTAATCAGACTGTTGTTGGTCGTGGTGCGGTCGAGAGTGGAGAGAGTCCGCTCTCCCTCTCGAAATGTTCTCACATGGTCACGCATATATAGCCTCCTCCAGGCAATCCTTACTCACTGCCTACCCGCAACATTATTGTTGTCTACGAAATTCAGAAGATGAAAGACGATGTTAATACAAACTAATGATTAACTATTTCAAATTTTGTTTACAGTAATGATAAATAAAGCTCTTTTGGCAGCTGATTCACTGTATAAATGTCACCGGATTGATAGTGATCATAAACCAGGACTTGTTTCTTCAATCATTATCACTGTAATAGAAAATAACCTGGTCATATGTAGAGTTTCATGAATGTCACGCATGGAATTTTCTTATAATTCAATGTAAATATACAAAAAATTGCCTTTACTTTAGGGAATAAAATACCTTCTAAGAAATAATGTTTCTTGATTAATAAAGTGAAAAAGTGAGATAAGACTATTTCATACCTTCAGGCATCTCATTTATACAGTCGATGTACAATGGTTGACGAGATGATAATGAAAGAAAATGAAACCTACCAAAACGATAAATGAAAATTTATAACTAAATGAAAATATGTTTATAAAATAAGATAAAGTGAAGATAGTTATTGCTATGATACATTTTTTATTCCTGAGGATTTCCTAAGACAGGGTTGGATGGAGAGTGCTGGTTGGCGCCTATGCTCCTCCACCAGGAGTAACAGGTGTAAGTAAGTAAGTATATGAACCTAAGATTTTTCCAGAAAATGTAACTCTTAAAGCCTGTAATCTTTTTTAATATACTGTCTTAAGACTCATACTGAATATTAAGATATAAACAGACATTTCGGTCATATTTCATGTTCTTTGAGATGTATTTGCTAAATTCTGCTGTATCATAGTGTTCACTTCCATTTTAATGCTCAAAGATAATTTCTTTTGCACAAAAATGCAAATTTGTTGTGGATTAATCTACTGAGCTCAGCATACAACACATACTATTATTGTTATAACTTGTGGGTTTGTGCCCCCAATAATGTATAACGTAATGATACCGCCAATTAGAGAACAGTTAATTGTCGAGCAGACCAATGACGCATAAAACCTGTACAAGCAGTCTAGAGTGCTTAGCGGTCCTGTTTCCTGCCTAGCCCTGCCTATTAGGTCCAGAATACCCAATCTCAACCTCCGCGATATGAATCATGTAATACAAACCAAACAGACCACATCGTACCATAAAATAGAAAACAACATTTGTACAAGTTTCGTTATTACATTGACCTGTTTCATATACGTCAATTTCATTAAAAATCGTGAACCGATCAGTGTCAAATCACCATTGAGAACCTGGAAGCACTGGACAGCCTTTTTGTCATGGTATGGGACTCGAACCCGACCATGTCGGCATCGAGCGCAAACACTTAACCTCTAGACCACTGAGTCAGAATCCAACGGTGTGAATCTCTAACTTCAACCAATCCACTATGTCGTGCAACCATTTTCCATTGTATTTTCAAATAATTCTCAATCATGGAATTGTACTAATTATAAGAACATGACTAACCTTTGTTATTGATTAATTTTGTTGTATCCCTGCCACTATTCTTTATGTGTATGTTTATTATTTTCTTTGTAACTGACTATTATTTTACGGTTTTGTACTAATTGTATTAATTTATATTTTAGTGATAAGTTATAATTGTTGGTCATATACATAGTTACCTGTTTTGCCTATAGCTCTGATAAGAATCTATATGTAACAAGTATAAGGATCTATTCAAGTCGTTCATCTGTAAGTAATTAGTTTCTATATGTTGTACTGTTGAAGAATTGATAGCGATTTACATCACAGGACAAGGTAGATGCTACTTGAATACAAACTGTAATTAAACATTGTAGTGTAGTCGAAGTTGGTTGTATATCAAACACAAAACATGGTGTATTCAAAACTATATACTAAAGATAATGTACATATGTAAATAGGTAATTCATTATTAATATTGTAGTACTTCCCTTGATTGTCTAAATAATTTTTCAATGGAAATTAAGGAAATAAATGGAAGTAATAAAGTGATTGCCAAAAATCGGATAAAATAAAAGTAACACTTGAAATGATATAAATATTCTTGTAAGAAAGCTTATAAAACTTGTGAATGAAGGCAATATCGAGGCAGTTCGCATAGGATGCATATATGCCAACAAGAAAGTGATCAATTACAGTCCTGGAAACATACAAGGAAACAAGGCCAAGTGAATTTAATCTTCACCTCATTGCACAAACAAGCGGCTAACAGGATTCAATAGCTAAGTGGATAACTAGACAGTGTTTGGAGGAGACAGTATTGAGTTCAAGCCCCAGAGTGAACATTCACTTTGAGATGTAGACACATCCAGCTGACGAGTCTCAAGTAGAACGAGATGTGCGTCCTAAAATTCACTGCTAGCCACTATCCATCACTACAAACACATTGAATTTATAATCAATTCCTTTAACTGCACACTGAACAAACCCAACGAAAATAAATGCAGCTAAATCAACTTCGTCATAGTTACTCTTACATAAAAATAATTAGTTTACAAGCGCTTAATCAGATTATCCTAACAAACCTGTCTGTTAATGGTTGCCTTTGTAGATTTTGTTAACTTTATTCATCTTCTTCATTCTGTTAAGTGTCTAGTTCAATTGGCTTCAGGTCAATTAATTGGTCAGCATTCTTGACACCCATTAATGAATTGGATTTATATTGATACATTTGTTGACTGTAGACTGATTGAAATGCAACACTTTGAAAAACTCTCTGGCATTCTTTGACTGTCTATGAATGTTGACATTCTCCCAAATTAATTTGGGTCATTGGTTGTCTGATAAAATTGGCATGAGTAATAAGATCATTTCATCTTATTTCAAAATTTTGTTCCTTAATGTATGCGGGTAGAGGTCCATTCACTTTGTCTAATGCACTGTTTCCCTCAGTTGGTGCATTTCATTTTATGAGTGATACTGTGTTCATCATTGTGTCTTTCGCTACTGGTAAAATGAGATGAAGTGATTCTGTTCCCTTGTTAGCAAATTTTATTTCCAGAAAGATGTTGAACTTCATTGAAGTCATGAATCGACATATGTTAAACCAATCTAGAAGACCTGAAAGCACTGTGTCTGTTTTGTCACAGTTTGCAAATGCTCAGCAGTGCGCATTCATGACCGTATGCACGGGAATCAAATCCAGGAGTTTTGGTCTCGCATACAAACGCTAAACTTCTAGACCACTGAGTCGGCATCCAGTAGTGTTATAGTCTAACCTTAATCAATTCACAATATTCCAGAGTTCGAGTGAAAAGTCGTGAGCAGTGGAGCTAACCCGTGTTGAGTGTGAGGCAGTTACCCACTGAAGACGATGGAAGATAGTTGCACAATTGATTGAGGTTAGACACAACTGGACTCGGTGGTGTAAAGTTTTTGGCGTTCGCGTGCGAGACCGAATGTCGGGTGTTCTATTCCAGTTTGTTGAAGAGTCGCAAACTAAACGGGACGGCCATTAAATGCTGTTTTATTCTCAAAGGTGGTCTAACATTGATCGATTCATGATTTCACTGGAACGTTTATTTCAAATATCTTTATAGTTCTTATTATGACTTCATAGATATTTTTCATGTGTTTTTAAGCAGTTTATTTTCTAGTTTCTGAGGTGGATCTTCTTGGTGCCGTTTCAGATTCTGGGGGACTTTTTGACAAGACTTCTTGTGAAGACAGCTATTATTAATGAAAATTATATAAAGAGACCACATAAACTCTAACAGTATGAACATGATTTCAAGAAGGAATCAAGTAGTCTTGATTAATCAGTGTTTACTAAAACGTATTTAATTTGTATTGAGTTCCAGACTACATATATGTTTTACCATCAAACTGATGCATCTACTTGGATTCATCATTCAGAAAGCATGAAAAAGTGACATCAGACAAAATGTTTAGTAAGAATAGAGAATTGGATAATTATCAGTATAGGGTTGTGAAGATTATTAAGATTTTGATTAAGATCATGAACTGATTGGTCTTAGACCACCACCGAAAACCTACAAGCACTAGATGGTCGTTTCGTCCTAATGTGCGACTTCTCAGCAGTGCGCATCCATGACCACACCTCGTGGGACTCGAACACAGGGCCTCCAGTCTCGCGCACGAACGCTTAACCTCCAAACCACTGAGTCTGCATCCAACGGACTTAATATCTAACCTCAACCAATCCATGAAGTTGCGCCACCGTTCACCATTGTCTTCAGTGAGTTAATATCTCATTATCTCAATGAATTGGATAATTCACCTAACTTACCCTATAAGATATTTATTTGATCTGTTCTTCTAATTATTAATCATTCAACTTACCGTAGTCCTCGTGCCATTTCAAATAAATCCACAAGAAATGCTTGTTCTTGATTATTATAATTTGAATCTGTACCTAAACTAACAATCAATGCAATAGTATCAGTATCATAGGCTTCAGTTTTTGTTTTAGGTTCAAATGTATGACAATTAAAATATATATGATGACTGAATTTACGTATTTGAAAACCATCCATATGCATACAATTATCTTCAATTTGCATAGTTTGATTAACACGTCGCATACAATTTAAAAATGCTGTTGTATCATGTCCTAAACGATAAGCATCAATTGTTTTTATATTTTGATAATATATTGACAGACTGTCATATTGATAAAGAGTTTCCGCTGCATCGACATCATTTTCCATTAGAAATTTATGAGTTAAATTACGCATATGTTTATTAAATACACTTGGTGACATAACATCACCATGACGCCATAAGTGGTAAGCATTCTGTGAAAATGGATGATGATGACAAATAGTTAATGCTGGAAATGGTGATTTAGCATCTAAATCAACATGTATATTTACTGAAACATCATAAACTAAATAATCTTGTACTAGAAGATAAGTTGTCAATAGTAAACCAACAGTCATAATTAATACAAAACCAAACCATAAACCTCGTAGAAATGGTGGTCCACGTCTCATTCGTGCAACACCTCGTATGGAAAATGTATCACATATAATTTCTAAGATACTGATTCTCTTTATTATTTTAGACGATTCTTTCATTTGAATGATATGTGAACAGTTACGGGCTAATTTATCGGTAGTTGAACGCTGATCATTCATTTGTATAAAATGGGAATTATCATTATTCTCTAATTGTAGCATATTTTCACTGTTCTTTGTTTATAACCAAACCACATAGCGAAAGCAGAAGCATTACGAATACCTGCGTTGAAAAGTACAAACAGATAAACACGATATTATTACAAGACAAATTCTTATTACAGATACAATTTATTACAACCGTTGTAACTAACCTGGTAAACTATCAAAATCTAGTAAGAAGTACATCAAAATATTCACTGCAGTGTTCATAAAATTCGGTAACCAGTAAAAAACTTCAATGGTTGAGATCATGAGTCAATTGAAGCCAGACCACTATGGAAACCCTGGATGCACTGAATGGCCGTTTCGTCCTATTCTGGGACTCCTCAGCAGTGCGCATCAATGATCCCGCCTCGCGAGATTCGAACCCAGGATCTATCTGTCTTGTGCGCGAACTCTTAACCACTAGATCACTGAGTCGGCCGGCATCCAACATTGTTAATGTCTAACTTCAATCAATCCACGAAATAGAGCAACACATCCACTAATGTCTTCAGTGAGTTACTATCTCATAACAGACCCGGTCGAACTCTACTGATCAACAAGAATACAATAAATACTTGCTCTTCACAACTTCCTTTTTAAGGTATACTAATTTAACTTTGTGATCAGTGTAATACAGTTGTTAGTGGTAGGAATATTTTTGGAAAAAAACTAGTGTTATGGATGAATAAACTTAAACGTATTTCAAATTTCAATGATGGATAATATCGGATGTTATTACTGTTCTATACACGTCACTACTTACAAAATGAGTGATCTGTAAATTGTATTAGAACATAGAAGTGAAAACTAAAATACAGTGTATATATATATATATACATTTGGGTATATATGTATCCTAGTTAAACCGTTAGAGAAACATAATGTAAGCAGGTGATTTCTAATCCATAGGTTTCAAAAACTCATTTGAATATAAAGCAAACTAAGGGAAACGTTGTTTCATAATGACTATGATAATGATGATAATAATAATATGTTGGGAAGTAAGAAAGACAATGCATAGTAAAATACTTCATAGAGAAAGAAGTTGAACTGAATGGGTTAATGATGATAGTCTTTTAATAAAATGACTAGGTAAAGAATTTCTCTATAAGTAGTATGACCAAGAGTAACCACATAAAGAAATTTATATGTATATAAATCAGGCATTATTGAATTGCTAGTATAGGGGTTGCGGAGATTACTAAGTTTTTGATTGAGATCATGAACCCAATTGATGTTGGACCATCACCTTTGGAAACCTAGATGCACTGGATGGCCGTTTCGTCCTATTCTGGGACTCCTCAGCAGTGCGCATCCATGATTCCGCTCGCGGGATTCGAACCCAGGGCCTCCGGTCTAGCGCGCGAACGCTTAACCTACTGGACCACTGAGCCGGCATCCAATGGTGTCTAACACTAACCAATCCACAAAATTGCGCAACCATCTTTCATTGTACTGAACTAGATACCTGTCTCTACCCGACAATATTGAACTGAGTCCATTAACGACTTCCGATATTGTGGTCTTCGATAAATTCCTTCAAAAGATATTGAACAAATAAACTAATTTATAGTTCACCGAATGAATTAACGCTAATTATAGAAGTAATCAAGAACAGTAGGTACTGGACACCTGTATGATCCTAGAATATGACTCCTCAGAAGTGTACATTCATGACCTCACCACTGAGAAGCCAACCAAGACTGAAGATCGATATGGAAATAGAATTTGATGTAGACATACAGGCGAAGATTGGCAGAGAGGACAGCATTCCTACATTTAAACATCCTATGGAACTCAAAACAACTGTTCGCAAACCAATATCAAAGTTAAAGTCTTCAACACGAACGTCAAGCTAGTTCTATTGTACGGAATCAAAACTTATAGATCTACTACAACCATTATCAAAAACGTACAAATATTTATAAATAATTGTATACTCAAGATACCTTCGGCAACAGCCTATTGTTGAACAGAAAATTAGAAAATGACGTTAGAATTGGACGGAAAATCATCAAACTGCATCACGAGGCATGTGCTAACTTGAAATCCCGAAAGGAATCGGAAAAAACATCAGTGAACACATTGCATCAAGAATTCTACACAGACGTCAAAAGAATAAATAGCAACTGTAAACAGCTGGAAAGGATTTCTGAGGACAGAGTTGGATGGAGAATACTAGTGTACGGCCTATGCTCCTCCATGAAGGGTAACAGTCGTAAATAACTTTGTCAGTAACTTCATATCTCTGTCCCTAAAATTCATCTGTTACGTATATACAGTGAAAGTGCCTTGTATAGTTCAGTGGCAGATTCTTCACGTAGAATAATTGAAATAAATAATATACTTCTATCGTATTATTCGTGTGTATATGTAATGAATCATTTCTGTTTGGTGAACTACTAGTAAATAAGTGTTATGTCTAGGTATATTATGTATAGTTAATCGATTCTAATCAGTTTACTGATCCGTAGGATTGATTTTTACTTACTTAAGCCTGTTACTCCTCGTGAAAGAGCATAGGCCGCTTACCAGCATTCTCCGTCCAACTCTGTCCTGGGCAATTCTTTCTAGCTCCTTCCAGTTGTTATTCATCGTTTCCATATCTGCTTCTATTTCCCGACGTAATGTGTTCTTTGGCCTTCCTCTTTCTCACTTCCCTTCAGGATTCCATGTCAGGGCTTGCTTCGTGATGCAGTTTGATGATTTGCGTAATGTATGTCCTATCCATTTCCATCGTCTTTTCCTAATTTCTTCTTCAGTGTTGATTTTTAGGTGAATTATATTATTCATCTACTTAGATTTCATTGTATCAAACTACTTGTTATGCCCCGATAAGAATAATCAGTGGTAAATTTTGAGATCCATTTGTGAACCTATACTATACGTATATTTTACCGTATAATTGTTAATGAACTAAACTATTCTTATCGATTAAATGTTTAAATATTTCAATGGCAGTCGATTTGGTAACTTGTCGATTAAATGTTTAGAAATAATTCGATGGCAATATCGATTACATACATATAATTGATAGATATACGTTTAAATTGTGTTTGGGTGATCGCTCGTTTCTGGCTCGTTTTGCAGAATATACTTTCCCATTCCAAGCTTGGACTTCTCCCTCTAGTTAGTGGGGCTGAGACGCATCAAATAGCTAGCTTACTGGTCTTTGGTCACTGAGTCTTGTTTATCGTTGGTAGATGAAGTGAACTCGTGATAGTTTAAAACCTAGCACTACTTGAAATAGTTGAAACTTTAACCATCAATGAAATGAAGCCAAGATTATTTGTAACAACGTAACAATGTTTTATACTTAACTTTGCAATGACTTCAAACTATATCCATCTCTAATTATTTCATATCTCCCATAACTTTATCGAGAATTGTTTCTGACATCACTTCATTTCATCTAAGTTCTATTAACTTTTATTACTGTAACAAAACATTTCAATTATCTTATTCTATTAAAAATATAATCTCTTTCTAATCAGTTCAACGGAGAAGCTTTGGAGGACGTAAAAACCTTTACATATCTGGGCAGCATTATCAATGATCACGGTGGATTTGATGCAAATGTGAAGACGCGGATCGGGAAAGCAAGATCAGCATGTTTACAGTTGAAGAACATCTGGAACTCATCACAACTGTATGGGGCGCAAGCTTGGAGAACTACGAAAGCCATCATCCAGAAGATATAGGTGTTTATTAACATTTGTCTACGCAATATACTTTAGATCTGTTGGTCAGACACTATCAGCAATAGCCTAGTATGGGAGAGAACAAATCATATCATAGCGGAGGAAGAAATCAGGAAAAAAAGTGCGGGAAGTGGATAGAACACACATTGAGGAAAGCACCGAACTGCATCACGAGGCAAGCCCTCACCTGGAATCCTCAAGGCTAAATAAAGTAGAGGAGGAAGACTAAAGAAAACATTACACCGAGAAATGAAGACAGATATAAGGAGAATGAACAACAATTGGATAGAACTAGAAAGGAATGCCAAGGACAGAGTGGGTTGGAGACCGATGGTTGGCGACCTATGCTCCATTGGGAGTAACAGACGTAAGTAAGTAAGTAAGTAAGTAAGTAAGTAAGTAAGTAAGTAAGTAAGTAAGTAAGTAAGTAAGTAAGTAAGTAAGTAAGTAAGTAAGTAAGTAAGTAAGTAAGTAAGTAAGTAAGTAAGTAAGTAAGTAAGTAAGTAAGTAAGTAAGTAAGTAAGTAAGTAAGTAAGTAAGTAAGTAAGTAAGTAAGTAAGTAAGTAAGTAAGTAAGTAAGTAAGTAAGTAAGTAAGTAAGTAAGTAAGTAAGTAAGTAAGTAAGTAAGTAAGTAAGTAAGTAAGTAAGTAAGTAAGTAAGTAAGTAAGTAAGTAAGTAAGTAAGTAAGTAAGTAAGTAAGTAAGTAAGTAAGTAAGTAAGTAAGTAAGTAAGTAAGTAAGTAAGTAAGTAAGTAAGTAAGTAAGTAAGTAAGTAAGTAAGTAAGTAAGTAAGTAAGTAAGTAAGTAAGTAAGTAAGTAAGTAAGTAAGTAAGTAAGTAAGTAAGTAAGTAAGTAAGTAAGTAAGTAAGTAAGTAAGTAAGTAAGTAAGTAAGTAAGTAAGTAAGTAAGTAAGTAAGTAAGTAAGTAAGTAAGTAAGTAAGTAAGTAAGTAAGTAAGTAAGTAAGTAAGTAAGTAAGTAAGTAAGTAAGTAAGTAAGTAAGTAAGTAAGTAAGTAAGTAAGTAAGTAAGTAAGTAAGTAAGTAAGTAAGTAAGTAAGTAAGTAAGTAAGTAAGTAAGTAAGTAAGTAAGTAAGTAAGTAAGTAAGTAAGTAAGTAAGTAAGTAAGTAAGTAAGTAAGTAAGTAAGTAAGTAAGTAAGTAAGTAAGTAAGTAAGTAAGTAAGTAAGTAAGTAAGTAAGTAAGTAAGTAAGTAAGTAAGTAAGTAAGTAAGTAAGTAAGTAAGTAAGTAAGTAAGTAAGTAAGTAAGTAAGTAAGTAAGTAAGTAAGTAAGTAAGTAAGTAAGTAAGTAAGTAAGTAAGTAAGTAAGTAAGTAAGTAAGTAAGTAAGTAAGTAAGTAAGTAAGTAAGTAAGTAAGTAA